AAATTTGTAACATTAGTAAAATAAAAAAACTCATGTAAAAAGTACCTAATTTTCCATAAAAATGTATTTTTAAATATATCTTTAAATGACAGTAAAATATCTGATAATTTATTTCCTTTCATAATAATTTTTTGTCCCTCAGTAAACCCAGACAGGACCTTTTCAGTTCATCTTTTCATYGCGTTCGCTGAAACCAGTGAAAGTAGATTCAGACTCATTAATATTTCAGCCTGTTGTAATAAAACCCAGGTCAGCTTGAAGCACTGCGCAGGCCGACAGCACAGGATGGACACAATAAACACTGGTGTACCTGTGAGTATATTTACTGCAGTACTTTACTTTCATATTTTACATTACTTGTAATAACACCCAAAGATTGATCAGTGTGAGTTTCAGATTCTCTTCCTCACTGATAGGTGCTTGAAGGAGCCGAGGCAGTGAGAGTAGGCCTTGTGTTCACCACAAACCCAGGTAGAGCAAAACAAGACCTTCAATGTTTTTGTGTCCTGAGAATGGAATTAAAAATGGTTTCATATCACACAGAGGATACAGACTGTGTAGTTATTGATGTGGAAGGAAGTAGGGTCGACTACAAATCAGCCAGAAATGAGGTAAAACAGCAGCTTCAGACTGTGGTTTAAATCATCTTCACTGCTCAAAGGTGTTTGTTTTATTAGGAGGTGAGGTCTTTCTCCTTTGACCAAGTTGTAACAGCTGACAACATGGAGGTAAATATGCAGCTGGATACCAAAGTACTTTTTTTCTACAGCGTCCTCTGAAACAAAGAATAACATATGTYAACAAAAAACTAAATAAATTTGACCTGAATGTGCAGAATCTTCATTCCAAACTGCTGCAGCCTCTTCCTGACWCAGTCTCCAGTGGATGTAACGGAGCGCTGATGATGTGTGGAGCAACCGAGCCTCTGACTGAGCAAAGAGTCATCAGAAATGTGGGACTAAAACTCAAACTGCTTCAAACTCTGTTCCACCTTTAAAGTTCTCTAAAGGTTCTGACTGTGTGTTTTTTTAGGTTTTGACAAARCTTTTTAGTCACACATCACAGACTAAATCAGAGATCTTCACCTCGCTGTCGTTTCTTCAGGTTTGTCCTCGTTTTTGTAAAAAACCATCATCCACACAGTTTGAGCTAATGTGATGCAGGATGTTTTTCTMTGACAGTTTTACCCAGACGGCAGTGCAGTGGATCTCCTGAGCCTCAACAAGGACACCTTAGAGCTGAAAACACATCCTGTTCTTGGGAGGTGAGACACAGTTAGTGTTTATGCTAGCACTTTATAATAACTACACCTAGTTTGTCCGCACTAATTAGCCGTACTTAATCATTAATAAGTTGTTGTTAACCTTAAAAACATTATTAACTAAAATGATTTATACTTACAAGATATCAATAAACACATTTAATACACCTACCTACACCCCTACCTACCTGCCTACCTACCTACCTACAGTTGTGGTCAAAAGTTTACATACACTTGTAAAGAAACATAATGTTATGGCTGTCTTGAGTTTTCAATAAGTTCTACAACTCTTATTTTTCTGTGATAGAGTGATCGGAACACATACATGTTTGTCACAAAAAACAGTCATAAAATTTGGTTCTTTCATAAATTTATTATGGGTCTGCTGAAAATGTCACCAAATCTGCTGGGTTACCTATGTTCCTTCTAATATACTCATCCCTATGTTCCCTGGATCCACATGTTCCTCAGTAC